TCAGGGCCAAAAAAAAAAGGGGATCGTCTCCCAGGTAGGACTGTGAGAGTAAATGTAGCATTTTTCTGTTTTCCATCTTTGGCATAATAGAATCATAAATTTTCTTGAAGAGATTTGTAAATCATAAAACCTGAAGATGTTTTTAAAACAATATTAACAACTGTTAGATTTTACAAGAATAGCATGAACATTTGTTCTTAGTCATTTTACATCGCTTTGGCGCAATCAGTCATTTTTCCCCTCAGTGTTTTGTCATCACACTTCTAGGAAAAAGTAAAGGGCTAATTGCTGGGTGGGTTTAGTAGATTTGGCTAAACTACTAACTAACATCAGATTTTCATAGTATCTGAGGGATTTGATGGCTCTGTAATCTTCCCATTAATGAATACTTCCTAATATCATTGCTTTACTGGTATTTCCTAGTTTTGTTGGTATGTTATCTACTTATAGTTTGAATTATACAGAAAGTAGACTGTGGTAAGTAATTGCATTTAATTGGAAGAAATCAGGAGTAATTATGATACAGAGCACTTACGTTTGTTTCTTAGTGAGCTGGATTCCCCCGAACTTAGGCTGTTTCATGGACGTTTCCGCACGTTTCCCCCTTACTGTAATTTACAAAAGAGCCTGCGCAACAACAGTTCAGATACTGTGTTTTCATAAAACAGGACACGTGTCATTAAAAAAGGAGAAGATGATGATGAAGAAGAAAGAATAAAAACAGGAATAAAGCTTAGGCCTATGTCTTTAAAAATGAAAAATTTTACTTGATTCTCACGTATGGACGTTTGACATGTCATGAGGTGGGGTCTTAAAGTTATAAATGTTCAGTATGTTTTTTTGAACAATATGCTAAATCAATAGCAAACCCACTGCCATATTAGTTTTTCAGGATATACTAAAAAACATTAAGCTAGATTGCAGTTTAATAATTAAACTGTATATACTGTGCATATAATGAATTTTTATCTTATGTAAATTATTTTTAGAACACAAGTTGGGAAATGTGGCTTCTGTTCATTTCGTTTAATTAAAGCTACCTCCTAAACTATAGTGGCTGCCAGTAGCAGGATGTTAAATTGTGGTTTATATACTTTTTTGCATTGTAAATAGTCTTGGTTGTACATTGTCAGTGTAATAAAAACAGAATCTTTGTATATCAAAATCATGTAATTTGTATAAAATGTGGGAGGGATTTATTTACAGTGTGTTGTAATTTTGTAAGGCCAACTATTCACAAGTTTTTAAAATTGCTATCATGTTTGTATATTTACACATTGATAAATATTAAATCATAACTTGGTAAAAATATAGCTAAAAGTTATTTCCTTCAAAATTCAAGTTACTGAACACTTTGTTGCATTCATTTAAAAATGGAATAGCAGATATATAACATATGTGGTAAATTGTGCTATACATATGGTCAAAAATACAATATTATACCCAGTGTTTTGAATTATTAAAAGCTTCCACAAAGCAATTTGCTTTGCTTTAGTATATAAGTAGGTATAATGAATTTGCTTTGTGTTAAAGTAAAGTGAAATATTTCTTAAGAGTGTTAGAAGAAATGTTAGAACACTTTGCTGAAATTTGTAAGATTTTATTCTGTCTGTACCATACTGGTGGAAAACAAATTGAAATTTAAGAGAAAATTAAGAGAAAACAAAGTGAAATTTAAGAGAATACCATCAGTTAGGTCTTTATTTAAAAGCAAATGATTAAAAACCTGCATAATACCAGTTGCCCAAATTCTTAGAAATAACTCAATGTTCACAATCATCAGGTTCTCATGTTGCAGATGAGCAAATACAGGGCTTAATGAAATTTAATACCTGAGCCACACAGCAAATTAGAACCCAAACCAGCACCCAGTTAATCTTAATTTGAGCCCTAGTATTTTGTTTTGATTTAAACCTGAGTATGGCTTTGGAATTCCCATAACGAAAAGTAGAATCATGTAATTACCCCTCTTCCCATTCCCTCAGCCCTCACTCCTCACCTCCAGTCCCCATCACCCACCCAACTTAGGCAATTATCAAGGGCACATGGTAACTCTTGTTTCATTTTCGTCCCATTCACTGACCCTTTCCAATCCCTTGGCCCTTAGATTATTTTGAAGCAAATCTCAGACATCCTATTGTTTCATCTGTAAAATTTCACTATGACTAGGGATACATTTTTAAAGTTGCATCATGGATTGCCACATGGCTAAATGGTAATGACGTTATTTTCATAAGAGATTTTTAAGCAAAAGTCGCTCTACTTACAGGTTACAAAGCCAGCAAAAAAAAACAACAAAAAAAACCCCTATATCATGAAAGTGAAAATAAACGAGTAGTAAGAAGCAAAGATGCTAAGTCAATACCCTAAAACATAAGGGAAGAGGCCATCTTTTGAGCTTATTTATACATTGATATATAATTCTACAAAACTTGATTACGGCTTCTCAGTCCCGGTAATGAAAAGGCACTGAGAGAGGAGACCACAGGGCTCGATGATGTCCAGGCACCAGCGCCATGCGGCTCTTGCCTCGTAGCTCCAGTGCTGCAACAGCGTAATGCCACAGCTGGTCATTACGATTCTGAGGCATCAAGGAAAGGGCATAATTTGTTGAGTAAAACATTTTCAGGAGGGCAGAGAAGTATATGGCTTTTTAGATCCCCATCCCAAGAGATGAAAGTGGAAAAACCTTGGAGCTTAAGGGACATAACTGACCATCTACCATTTTCTCCATCAGGTCCTGTGCTAGCAGCTTTGGGGATTAATATAACGGGGAGGTAGATTGCGTCCTTATTGTGTAGAGGAATAAGGACTTGGAAAGGCTAAGCAACTTGTTTAAGGAAACCTGAAACCTAGTAAGAGGAAACCACTGATTCTAACCCAGGTCCCTTTCATACTAAAATGGGATTTTCTACTGGGCTTCAGTTATGTCGGATCATGTCTGTTGTGAATAGCTTTTCAAGTTGACCTCCTTCTGAAGCCCCACCGTGGCTCCGGGGCCTTTGGATGATGCTGTTATTGATCGTAGAGATGTTCTCATAAAAGGTTTTAAACAAATATGCCAATATTGGATAATTGGGGTAGAGAATGAAAACTCCGTGAAGTTTTATTCCTTGGTTCATTTTATCCCTTATTTAAGTTGCTCCTATTTTCTTTTGCACTTTTATTGTTTTTGCTGAAGAATGAAACAAAATTAGCATCCACTGAAACAGTTTAGCCGTGTCACATTTTACTAACTGCAGCCGCTGCCTCCTGAACTGCCCGTGGCGCTGCTGTTCCTGCCGTTTCCAGTTCTCCTCTGTCAGACGCTGCAGATCTCAATGTCATCCCAGACGGTGCCCTTCTTTGGGCGGTCACGAATCGCGGGTGTGCTGTTCCGGCCACCGTGAGGTCTCGCTCCGTGATGTTTCCCGAGCAGTGCGCCTCACCAGTGGACTGAGACGTGCGCATGGTTTTGCCAGCGGGAAGATTTACTGCTGTTCCCTCCCTCTTGCTGCTGCCATTCCCGTCCCCAGTCCCTAAGAGTGTTCTTTCGGAGGCCCTCCATTTTTTCTTTCCTCATAAAATGCACCACAGAATAGTGGCACGGTTTTCGCCACAGGGGCCCGAGGCACTTGTAAGCAGGTTTATCTGACTCGAGCAGCCAGTGCCCGGCACAGGGCCCAGCGCACGGGGGGCTCGGAGGCCCGAATTCACACGGATCGGCAGGCAGAGGGGATGCTAACCAAAATGCAAAAAATTACCCTAAAGAGTGCATTCCTGAGCCCGCGTGCAGCTGGATGAAGGCCCCCTGCCCGGATAAAGCACGGCCTTGTATGGAAAGAAACCACGACTGAGGCTTATACTCCTGGCCTGGCAAGGATACGGGGCTAGTTTGGGCTTCTGCCTCCTACTTGAAAAGTGCAGCCCGGTTCACGTGAAAAGTGACCTGCGACGCGAGCGCCGACAAAGGTCAGGCCCCCGGAGGTG